TTGTGTGAGTGTAACTCAGTGAATTTCATCTATGACAGTGAATCTTGCAATTGTAAGTTTGTGTCTTTTTTGAGTGAATAAGAGTGAATAAAGGGAATGTAAAATAATCTCAATGCAATCATCATTTTAGAGTAACTTCTCCAACAGGTTTAGCTGAGTTAAACCTGCACTGAAACTTTTTTATTTTATCTTTTTTAGTGGTTGCAGAAGCTGTGGGACTACTTGAACGAAATATATAAAACCAGAAGACCTTAACAAACCCAAAAGACTCAGTCACACTACGCAACCCACACATTTGTGGTCTGTGCAATTTATTGCCAGTGATGGCTGACAGAAATGATCATGTGGGATGACCGGTTCAAATTGCCCATCATCAATCCCTATAAATGCCAGTGTTGGCTCTTTTGGTATCCTTAAGATTGGGATTAAGACATCCCAAATCTGGTTTGTTAGATTGTGGGGCTTTGGCGCTTATGTCTTGTTGTAAAGGGTATTTTTAAACTGTGAATCTTTAGGCTGTAAACTAATCTAACATTAAATTGTATGGTAGTCCCAATTTGTTCAGTTTAAATTTTAAATTGATAGCCTCATATGGTTGACACTTGAATGAGAAAATTAATACCAAGGAGGCTTTATAATTGGTCCCTTTAAAAACGCACCTTTACAGTGTTTTAAAACCAGCCTGTTTGCCTTCAGTAATTCTATGATCATAGACCTTTCTTTAGTCTTTAGCCCTGAATATTAAAAGTGTTGGTCTTTGTCTGATTTCCCATGGAACATGTAACCATTGACCAGGCTATAACCCCTATCTGATTGGGAGGCCCAGAAACTACTGACCAAGTCATACCCCCTGTCTGATTAGGAGACCCAGTAACCATTGACCAGGCCATAACCCCTATCTGATTAGGATGCCCATTATCGCAAAGTCTTGCCTATTCAACCCGACTTTCAGAGGCCCTATGCTGGAATCTGTCAGCTACAGACTTTCATATACAATAATCTACTTGGAAAATCTTCCCATTGTCACACCACCATTCTCAGCTTCCCAGTTTGCTATCCTCAGACAGTTATCGCTCTCTATCGTCTCTATTGTTTAAGAGAACTTCACTGGCAGATTATTTCCATTGAGTTTCTTTACATGATCCAATCATAATTGTATATTTACTTTTGTGTACCTCTGCCTTCAGAGAAAAGTCATCAGCATCTTTCTGCTCCTTTTCACATCTCCCAGGAGACAGATGCACCATACAAGTAAGAGGCTCACCTTGGCCACCCTATTCCTCAAGAAAATGTTTTCCTGTCAAATCTGTTGGAAGAAAAGCCATCATCCCTTCTCTCCAAGGCAGTATTGTTCTGGCCATAGTGGGGTAAGAAGATTTGGCTGTGCTTGGCCCCCAAACTTCAAATCTTTCGACTCTGAATGCCATGCTCAGACTTCTTCTCTCAGCATGTTTTTTAAATTTTTTTATTTTTCTTTTTGAGGCATGAATGGACTCGGAAAGCCATTCTCCTTAACTCCTCCAACAGTAAAGGTTAAGGAAGATCTCATTCCTCAGCGATCATCAGTTTTTGGTCAGACTCACATTAATCTCAGCTGTGGATCAGTTAATCCTCAGGCCAGCCTACAATCCACAACAGCTCTGCTGACTCATAGGGCTCTATTTTTTTGCCTCACTAGCGCCGTGGAGCAGGCTCGGCGTATTGGATCTGTATCACCTGAAAGTTCCAGTGTTTCAACAAACTTCAGAGCTGAGAAATTCTTTGTATTTGAGGCAAATTCTCAACAGCTTTGCCAAAAGTACTCTCTTGAGTCCAGTCAACAAGTTGAAATTTTTCCAATAGATGCTACCTGATGCAGGTACCCCCTGTAGCTGCACATTACAGACTATGGGCTCTATATTCGTGCTTTCGTGGCACAGGCGCAGCATAAGTCAGGCCCGCCACGTCGACAAGGAGTTCCCAAGCATAATTTGGTATTTTGGTGAGCGGCGCAGCCCGGCGTAAGTATCCCCCCTCCCTAACTCAGCAGTGTAAGTCGTAGCGAGGGAGCAGAGAGGGCGTGGAGTGGGTTTAACACAGCCGAGACCTGTATTGACCAATAACATCAGCTCCTCTCCTCACCTTTAAATCCGCCACCGGTGAGGCGTATTACAATTTTCGTGCAGTAGTCAAAGAGCTCAAGAGATGTCTGCAGACAGCAATGCCACACGATGGCGACAGAAGGCAGCCCCTCAACAAGTGTTGCTGTAAACACTGCAGAGGGCGTCCTCCACACTGCCTCAAATAAGCACAGAGGGATTTGGTGTGTGTAATGTTGGACCCACTGGTAAGACAAACATCCTTTTACACAAATAAAGACACTCACATAAAGTTGCACATATTCAAACCTTTCAGAGGCCCTGTGCTGGATTCTGTCAACCTGACAAAGGTGGGTTGTGCACACAGCTCATGACATAAATTCCAATAATGGCATTAAAGCATGAAAATGTCACTGCGCCAGCTGATTCTGTCGACACCTCCCCCTGCCACGCCACCACACCCAGCTTGGTGGACCTCGGTGCGCCTCAGTCCACGAAAATACCAAACTGGCTGTACCTTGGGCTCCGCCAGACGAAAATACCACTGCGCAGGGTCCACCACCCTCCACCGCGTCGCCGGCAAACACGAAAATAGAGCCCATTGTTTCCCTCTCTGGACGTCCTTTCTTATTCAAAATCCATCAACGACCCCATCTACAGGTCTGGCTGCCTACTATTCTGTATCATATATATCTTGTAAGCGTAAAATGGCTCAAGTCGCCTGTCACAACCTTAGGATGTTCAGACCCGAGTCATAGGTAAGTGAAGATTTTTGTGATCCAGTTTCCTGCTGACACTGTCTGAAAAGCTATTTGCTAAGATCATAGGTGGTAGCTCAGACTCAAAATATATTTGATGCAGACACCATATATAACAAAAATATGTTTGAAGTGTATTTTAAAGTTAATGTTTAGCCTCTGTCATGTTTGTCAACATAACAGAGTTGGAGTTTATTATCTATACTGCAGCCAGCCTTTAGGGGGAGCTCTAAATCTTTTGGTTTCAAACCAGACAGATACTAATGAAATGCAATTTATCGTTTTTCATTTTAGCAAAAGCTTTTTTACTCAATGCAGCACGTGTCAGAATTTATGCCAAAAGTAAACACACAACAAGCACTTGTATGACCAACAAAGCCCAATTCTTGGCATTAAGTCATTACTCACAAAATAAAGTTGTAATAAAATCATTACTGACAAGAATAAAGTCGTAATAAAGTAATTACTGATGAGAATAAAGTCAAAATAAAGTCCTTATATTCTAACCTGTTGTTTAAGATGACAGTTGTTGAAATGAGAGCCATGGAGCATTTCGTGAAAATGTATTTCAAAATAGGTTTCTCTATCAAGGAGATACTTAATCTTTTGGCACATCAGCTCCACATTATCGTAAGTATCATAATGATTTTATTACAACTTTATTCTCATCAGTAATTAATTTATTAAGACTTTATTCTCATTAGTAATTTATTTATTACAACTTTATTCTCAGTAATTTATTTATTAAGACTTTATTCTCATCAGTAATTGCTTTATTAAGACTTTACTCTCTTGAGTAATAACTTTACTCTTGTAAGTAATTACTTTATCACACTTTATTCTGGATAGTAATGACTTTATTAAGACTTTATTCCAGTTAGTAATGACTTGTAATGTCGTAAATTAACGACTTTATTCTTGAAGCCTTTTTTTTTTTGTTTTTATTTTTTGTTAATGTGGCCCTAATACTCTGTCATAATATCATGGCACAAAAAGTATTTCTTTATTTCTACATCTCATTTTTTCAGTTATGACAAGTGTTAGAGGGCTGCATTTGTCCCTACTTCAGTTGTTTTGATCATGTTATGGACAAGGACTACATATAAAAAGGCATTATTAGGGGCATGACTGATATCACAGACAGGTGGTTGCACTAGTGCTGTTTGCCAACTCTTTTTCGCTTGTTCCTAGATTTGTTTAACGTCAGTCAGAGTCAGCATATGCTACACAGAAACAACCATCCTCTGGCTTCTAAACTATGATTACAGAGACTTTATTTGGGTTTCATGTTGTCTGAGACCGTGTCAGTGTTTTATGCAGCCTATTTACTCAACAGACAGCAACCTTTTCATCCTGGCCTCTCAGTCATAACCATGTGTGTGGGTGCTGAAGTGTGGAGCATGTGAACTTTTTTAAACCACCACTTAGTGTGTGGAATAAGAGCACTTGTTCTACAGCTACATATCTGACATTGAGTTTTTCTGTCTCGTTCATGAATAGAGAGACAGTCTGACAGCGCAATCACTTTCAGTGAGAAAATCATCATATCAGTGCGAATATAAGACAGAACAGGAAGGGGCAGACAGAAAAATGTGTGGTAAAGTTTTCACTTCAGGTAGGCTGAAAAAGACACACAGAATTGAACATAAAACAAAATAATAGTTTAATCTTTTGAATATTATTGTTAGAGCACTTGCTTGAGGGAAATAAAGCAGAAATGGGTTGTTGGATTTAGGAATCGTCTCTATGGCCATGAAGTGCAATGAGGACTACAGCCTCTGTAAGGTTGATGGCCTGCTTGCTCAGTAAACCAAGCTAAACCAGCACTCCATTAAGGTATAATTTTAAGATTTCTGACTTTTCATGAGCTCTCACCCTTCCAAAAAATGAAGTGCAAGAAAATCCAACTTTACCAATTCATCCAGAACCTGCCCAGCTGTTGTGAGGTCCATCAGGTTACTCTCGCATGTCGACAGAACCTCTGAACAGACTTATCATAAGAAGCTAGAAGAGAGTTGTCCTGTTTGAGAAATTTAAATAGAGACTGATCGATATAAAGATTGATAATCTCAGTTTTCAGATTTGTCAGCGTTTATTCCTCAACCCTGACACTATCAGCGTTTCAAGTCTGAATGAAGAAGTGTCAAACATACATAAATGACTACTCTATTGCAGGGTTACAGCCTAAACTTACACCATCTGCCTCTCTATCATATACACAAACACACAGTGATAAAGCGATGACTGTGTGAACAGCTGAGCTTGTTGGACACACCTGCAGGGTTCAGGGTATTGACCTCTCTGGTGTTCACGGGTGCCTCCACTCTGTTTCAACTCCACTACTGACTGAAGATGAAAGGAGCCAGGAGAGAGACACTGGAAAAGACGAAAAACAAAGAAAAACTGAACCAACAAGCCAAACAAGAACCTAATGATTTGTTATTCCACTCATTCTGGCCTTCAACTCCTAAAAGGTTCATTTTTAACTTCACAATACTTCCCTGAATGCATCATCAGTTTCTTTTTATAAGATTACCAAAATCAGGTACATGTTGGTTCAACGGAATTTTCATTTTCATTGTTGGATCTCATAATACTTGTTTGCCTAAACTGATCTGTTCAATCTGAAGACTAATGGAAAGACTAGAATTCCTACCTGAGCCTGTATTGATGTCTTTATTTTGGATCGATTTTGTTGAGAAAGGCCTGCTTCTAGGACCTCAATAAGGCCAGAAGATGTTCTTGAACTGGAAGGTACCACAGACCTTTATACTGCTGAATAACTCAGCTTCTTCCCTTTTTTCTCTTGTCTATAAATGGACTGAAGGATAAATGCTTATAAGAATTTCACCTCACACATAATGGTTTTTGTCATGAAGATACAACAATAAAGTACAAGAGAAAAAGGTTGACAGCAAGTATTGACAATTTTTAATTGGATTAAAACAATTTATTTTTACAGACTCAAAAGTTGGTCGTTCCACCATGGCAACGGTATCCTTATCTGCTGACTTGCAGGACTAACTTCCCTCACTGGTTATTGTTGTCAAACAATGTGAGGAGTTGACATTGTTTTTGAGGAGTTATTACCAGTCACTTTGACCACTCAGACTCAGGTGTTAAATTCAGCCCAGTCAGGGTTACCTCACATTTTTTTTGGCTCACTTTAGTCTCTGTCACAGATGCTCCTCCCACAATTTAGAGAAACCTTCTAAAACTCTGACTCCTTTATTGACCAAAGTCATCCCTGTCAGATGAGAGGACATGACAACTTTAAGTATAAAGTATAAGCCACATTGTAATCTTGGCAGATGGAGCACTCAAAACCTTTTGTATTAATGCTACATATCAGCAGTTAGAAGTACAGACAGACTCAGTGTTTTCCCCTTTTTTCCCCCAAGTTTTTCTCCTCTTTCAACCTTGTGATAATTTGATTTATCCTAAGTGTCACTCTCCGGGTTCAAATCAGTCATTTGATGTAAGCATCATAAACCTGCTCACAGGCTGATGGTGAGTTTTCCTCCTTAGTGGAATAAGGCCTTTTTGCATTCATGGTCACTCAAAGAATTTTTAGACATGTATGAAGACAACTCCAGACTCTGGAGTCTCACCAAAGTGTAAAGATGTTCACCTTGTTTTATGAAGCCAGCTCATAATCCCTCACAGATCACATAATCACAACCATAAATGCTAAAGCAAAGGGGTCTAGGATGCATATGAATAAGGGGATGGTTCAGCCTTTCAGTGCACAGATTGCTGTCTCTTCACTTTGATTGATTTTTATTTTAATCAACTAAAATACCATCTCATCATAATCTTTGACATTTATTTACATGAAGTTCCTGTCAGGAGATTTAGCAGGTTATTAAGCAGCCTGAAATTAAAACCAGTGCCTCTTTCTGAATCAAAAGAGCATCAGGGATGAGACTGATCATTTTTCAGCGCTTTACAGCTCCCTTTGAGAAGGTTTCAGATAAGGTAAGTCACAAGAGCAGAAAAAGACAAATATCTTCTAGCCTAGTGATTTTACTTAAATTTCAGGACTTTATTCTTTAAATCAAACTACTCTCCACACTGTTGATTTGTATAACAGTGCACAACAGTTTTCTTTAGAAGTAAATTTATAATCTATAAGGAGGAAAAGCTGCTGAAAAGTGGTCTCATCTGCATTGTTATGCATCCAAGCATAGACCCTTCACTAAAATATAAAATGCTAGATATAATGGAAGGAAGTCAGCCTCGTCGGATCATGCAGTAGTCATAAAGGAGCAGTATAAAAATCTAGAGAGTCAAGAACATTTTTCTTCACAAAAAGAAAAACACAATTTAGGCTTTACAAAATAAAACTAATTAAAAGTGTTTAAAATAAGATGTAAAGAGAAGCATCTCACCCAGAGGGTTACATCTAGATAAAACTCTAGTTACATCAGACATCAGAGGGTTACATCTAAATAAAACTCTAGTTTTATCTAGATGTAACCCTCTGGGTGAAATGCTTCTCTTTACATCTTATTTTAAACACTTTTAATTAGTTTTTTTTTGTAAAGCCTAAATTGTGTTTTTCTTTTTGTGAAGAAAAATGTTCTTGACTCTCTAGATTTTTATATTTTATTCATTTTTATTAACAATAACAGCCTCTTTATACCCAAAGCTCTGGATTTGACCCTTTGTCGTCAGTACCACTGCACCTTTTGAAAGCACCAGTAATTGTGGTTCTCACAGTGTAGATGCTATTTTTACCCATATGACAAACAGCTTTAATATCTTCTGCTTTGTCGTGCTATACGACCTCAGCTAATGACTTGATCCTCACAGCATGTACACAAAACTAATCCACCGTTATCTCTCCCTGTTTCCACACTAATTATTTATTAATGACTTTTATTTTCTCTGGATTAATCCAAAGGATTGGACCTAAAGTGGGCGGTGGAGTGAAAGAGAAGCTGAGAATGACCAAATGTCTTAATAATTGGGCTCTTTGAATTTCAGCCTCAGAGGTAAACACTATTGACTTCTTTCAGCCATCAAAAAGCTTTAGCAGCGATGTCAATAGCTGTGGTTGTTAAACATTCTCAATTCATTTTTCAAAACGTTTTTTAATCACACAAAAACCGACATTCAACAAAACATTAAAGAAAAAGAATATGAAAGGAAAATACAGTGAAATAAAAATTAAAACTACTTAAAAACTTCACGGCTACTTGTTAGAAAAACATTAATGACTGAATTTCAACAACTGATGACAATCTTTTAGATAAACCTGAAGGTAGTCAGAATCATAGGGGCTCAAAGAAAGTCGGTCTCGCTCATGTATCTTATATGATACATAACTAACTTACACCCATAGACTGATTACAAGGTGGATAACAGACAGCTTCCCAAAAGTGATGCCACATCTCAAACACTCCCCTGACAGGCTCCTTCATATTGACTGATGAGACATGGGTCAAACTACTACAAGATTAAAGCATATTTCAACTATATTTTTTCTCAACCATGATCTCTGTTAAATGCTGATTTTTAAACCTTTCTTTGTAAGAAGGGGTTTAGCTGTGACAGTGGTTGAAAGCTCTATCGACAAATGTGTATTTGGTACCAAGGTAGCAGAGCAGAAGAATAAACTGGAAAACATGACTAAACAGAAAATTAATTTAACTTTTTCACTACCCAAACTGAGTCAATGTATTCTTCTGTAGACTTTGCTGGCTAATGTCTACCATTTTATCAGTAAGGTTGACATAATTCACAACACATCATAGGAATACTCAACTTTGTAATTCAACATCATGTGAGGAGCAGTGTTTAACATTCAGCCTCCCCCTTTTGGAAAATGTGGATTAACTAGACTCTAATACATAGAAACTGATCATCCACAAATATAACAATAGCACCAATGACCTCTGCTGAAAGAAAACTGAATCCAGAAGATAAACAGGTGTGCAGATTTAGGAGAGGGGAAAGGGTTGCTGCTGCTGCAACCATCAGTCAGCTCTCTCATGCTGGATTGTCCTTAAATGCACTGAGCTTCAAGAGTCCCTGGCAACAACTCAACAAGATCTTTAATGATGTTTTGTATGAAGTATGGAAATCAGGGTGAAATATACCCAGTAACCTTGGATAACCCTGCAAAGAGTTTCTACTCTAATTTTAATATAATATGATCAACAGATTCACTGACCTTCCATCTGGGGAGCAAAGAGCCTGATGAATAGTCATTCATGAACTGAAAAAGAAGCAATTCAGAGTCAAGAGGCAGAGAGTACCAAGTCCTATATAGGAACTTCTCTTGATTCTGCAGTTTCATATCCTAAAGCCGCGTAAACGTTGTATTGACAGGTCTGCCCCATTTTCATTTCAGCATAAACACTTCATCAGTGTCTGACAAGACTTGACAAACCTGAGTTGTTTGACCTTCACTTGACACCACGCTGAGTCTGAATCCACACAGCTTTATATTTCCCTCTCCAGAGATTTACAGCGTCCTCCTTACACTTCAGGTTGATTCAATGAAACAGCCTGAAAAAAGCATCACCCATGTTTGATGTACTCAGTGAATGAATTAATGAGTAAAAGAGGTTTCAGAGGTTCTGCATATCAACTCAGCTTTAGTGCCTGACAAAGTATGACAGTTTTAGAAAACACAGTTTTACCCTCAAACATCAACCATCTTCATTAACGCTACAGAAGTCCTTCTACTTTTGGGCAGTTAGATTTTCTGAGGATACAATTCAAATGAGAAACAACTCCTTCTTATTTTTATTTTTTTAATTTATTTTTTGAAATTCAATCAAAGACTAAACACCAGAGAAAAAAATACTTTGTTCTGTCAATTTCTTCCTTGAGTTTTTTTTTTTTTTAATTGATAATGTACAGTATATGAGAGCCAAAAAGGCTCACATGACATGTAAGTCAAAGAAAAAAAAATCAAAATAAAAGTCAAGGGAATATTTAGCTTGCTAGTTATCTGGAATCTGTAGGCCTCCCTGTTGTAGACTTCCTAAAATATTCCTGTTTCTATTTCAGATGATACCCATTATTTTACGATTTAAAAAAAAAACTATTCAAAAAAGTTTGAACTGCTAAGTAGTGGTACATGTGCTACAGCTCAGACACTGACCTATGTTCTTAAAAATGGTCATTATTAGACTCAGATTTATTTATTATTATTTTTTTTATCATTCCTAATAGTAGTAGCACTGCAAGTGGTTGTCTTTACTGTTGTCCCTGCATTTAAAACCTCTGTAAGGAACTTTTTGGATGGCTATGAAATGGACTAAAACTCCACATTGATGCCTTTTTAGGACAAACAAAATCATTAGGGACAAGCCTGGTGATTGTAATGCGGTTATCTTTGATGCCTGAAAACTGTGCAGGGGGATGAATTTAAGATGAGCGGCAGCAAAAACAGTCAGTTTATTCATTTATTTACTATACAATGAATGAGATATTTGGCTGTCCCAGGTCAGCAGATTGACTATTTGAAGACAACACTCAAGCAAGGACCAGTTTTTCCATACAGGGCAACACAAACCAAAAAATATACATGCCATGAGGTAGCTTTCAAAGTCCACCCTTATGTCATTGACTTCTGTGTCATGCAACTGACCCTCATTGTTATTTAGTTCCTTCTGGTCAAATTCAAGAAACCTTTTCTTTCATTGTTTATAGAGAAAAAAAAAACTAAGAGCAGCTTATCATGTGGTAATTATTTTATGGTTTAGATTCATAAAACAAAAAGTACCCTTTCCCTGTTTCTAATTTTGATTATATCCTTAGGAAAAGATTTAAAGGTTGGCACATTTTCAGACGGATCCTTTTTCAGTCTCATTTTTCTTTCACTAAGTGAAAATAAAACGATCCAGCAGCATAATCCTGGCTCGTTATCTGAGGCTAATGCTGCAAAATCTTGTTTCTCTAGTGCTGCTCAGAATGAAGAGTAAGCAATGGCCTTTCGAGTTCCCAATTACTTAAAAAAAGCAGGCATTTTGATAGGAAAGTTTTGGCACAGTTGAATAAAGGTTTATGCTTTCATTTTGCATGTAGCAGCATAACCCACACAGATAGTCAAGGCCATCTGTGAGTACAGGTCAAACCTGGCCTATCCATCCTGGTGGACTTGTCCTGGTATCAGAGCTTCACTCTCCATCCCTGCTGCTGGGGTGAATGGAGTGATTGTGTCCAAGGACAGTTCTGGGTCATCCTCCAACTGGACGGTAGCAGGAAGCAGCAGCAGTCTGTTGTGGCTACAGGAGCCATTGGAGATGATGGACTCCTCATCAAACTGAGCACTCATGTCCTCAAGGTGGTCAGACCCAACGTTGATAGTGCGAGGAAGCTGCTGCGGCTGTGCAGGGACCAGCTGCTCCTTGTGGAGCGTTGTATCATGGTGGTAAGACACAAGCTCGTCACTGAAGTTCACGGCCTCCACTGTGTTGTTGGTGCAGATCTGGTTGCAACCCAAAATGGTGGAGAAAGCACGCCTAAAGTCAGCGTTAAACGCATAGATGACGGGGTTGAGGGAGGAGTTAGCCCAGCCAAACCAGACGAAGACTGTGAAGGTGGTGTCGCTGACACAGGGTGGGTCACAGAATGGGACTGTACAGTTGAGGACGAAGAACGGCAGCCAGCAGAAGACGAACACCCCCATGATGATGGAGAGAGTCTTCAGGACTTTAGTTTCTTTTTTAAACGAAGACTTCAACGAGGCTTCATCGTTGGGCCTGTGATGCTGCTGCTGGTTTCTGTTGACACCATGACCTTGGTTCTGTGCCTGCTCTGCTGCCCTCTCCAAAGACGTGATCCGACGGATCTGGGTTTGAGCTATCCTGTAGATCCGGGTGTAGGTGGCGATCATGATCACCACCGGGATGTAGAAGCTGATCAAAGAGGAAGAGATGGCGTAGGTTTTGTTCAGGTTGGCCACACAGCTTTTGGTGATAGAGCTGGTGTTGAGATTGATGCTGCTGTTGGTGAAGTTCCTGCTATTAGAAGCTAGCAGTTCCACCATCTCCATGACCCCCTCCTCATCCTCCTCCTCTCCAGCCTGGTGCCAGTTTAGCTGCACAGGAATGAAGGATATCAGGATGGACAGGGTCCAAGCCACCCCAATCATTATAAATGCCACCCTGTGAGTCATCTTCCTTTCATACTTAAAAGGGCTGGCGATGGCCCAGTAGCGGTCCACACTGATGATGCACAGGTTCAGGATGGAGGCTGTGGAGCACATGATGTCAAAGGCAATCCAGACCCCACAAAATCGTCCAAACAGCCACGTGCCAGTCACTTCTGTAATAGCCTCCCATGGCATCACCAACACTGCCACAAACAAGTCAGACACGGCCAGAGAGATGACGAAAAAGTTGGTGACTTTGGAGCGCAGATGGCGGAAACGGACCACAGCGGCGCACACCAGCGTGTTCCCGAGCAGCGTGGAAACGATGAGCAGGAAGAGGACGCAGCCGACGAGGACACGCAGACCACCGCTCCCTCCACTGCTCCCAGCGTCCTCTTCGTCCTCCTCTGCCTCGCCACCTGTCCCGTCTAGCTCTGACAGAACTTGTGTGAAATTAGTCCATATCGTGTAATTTCCCATTTTACCCGCAGTAAGAGTGATTTACAGCGGCAAAATATGATACAAATCCGCGCGTAAAACCGCTTTTCTTATTTCTACGGACCGCTGGAAAGATAGATAATCATGAATAAAGGTGACCGTCTTTAACAAAAAGTCCTTCTGAAATTGATTTCATGCGCCTTCACAATAAATCCCCTCACCGGACAGCTGACGCGCAAATCACTACCCAGAGAAGCACTCCATGATGTTAATCCACAGAAGCGTGCACATTAAAGGTTAAGTCATGTATAAAATAATAAAAAGTGATGCTCATTAATCCAGAGGAAGTTTAAACGCCTCCGCAGGGGGGTGAGAAGAGTCTCAGTCGTTTGTCCCAGAGTGACTCATAACGGACTCACCTCTCTCAGCGTTACGCGCTCACTATCAGTCAGGTGGAAGCGGCTGCGGGGGCTCGCTCCCTCCTCAGAACAGCGGTAAACCACTGTCATCACACCAGGAGCAGCTTTGACTCTGAATTGAGGAGAATAATGCTCATACTTCAATCTGAGTGGATTGATAGACGAGAGGAGAACAATTAAGAAAGAAAGAAAGAAAATGTTTGGTAACATGATGTGAAAGACACCAAGTTGCTCTGGTGCGTTTTTGTAGAAAATGGTCTAGTTGAAAACAGATATTTTCATTTTGTAGTATGTTCAAGTGAATTAAAAAATACATACCAGAACTCTTAATCAAAATCAGAATAATCTGGTACATGGTATTTACAGGTGACCCTAATGATGATCTACCTGTGCGTAGATTAACAGGAAAAAATAACTACACCACTGCTTCACAAGATCTGCAACTGCACACTACTCAAGAGGAATCTTATAGTCAGAAGCTGGAGATGCAAAATGACCTTAAGATTGAAGTGCAAAACAAAAGCTTGTCCTGTTTACAGTGGTGTTAATCTCTATCTGTTCTGTCTACATGACAACTGATCAACATGTATCCTGATTGACTGCATTGTCTGTCTGTCTGTCTGTCTGTTGTTCATCTCCTTCATTACTTGCATGTGAAGGGGCCTTAATTGTTCGGACTTTGCACTGTTAGCTTTCAGATTCAATCCTTTGCTGTTTTCCAGAAGTTGTTCTTAAGCAAGGGGTACATTTATTATTTATTGAAACAGAAATACAATCTCACTTTTCACATCAACAAAAATAAATGCTCTGCTCACCACCACAGATGGTTCAATAAAAAAAAAAAAAACCTGCAGCCTCCCCGGCAACATAAATCATCTGAACTTTGTGCTTGTTACTGGCTGCAGTGTTACTCATTAATGAATATATTTATGTGGGGACATTTCTTTCAGATCAAATGACTACAGACATTTCTGAACAATCATCTTTTGATCAGGTGAAGCTGATTTGAATATATTGTCCTTCTGCAGTGCAGGACCATCAATCTAATGTTCTTGGAAAGGCGATGGCAGATAGCCCTGTAGTTGTAACATGGCCCTCTGCTGGATGGAAGTTTTATCCTTATCTGCTGAGAGTGACTTTCTCTCCAAATGAAACTGACTTCACCAAGAGTGGTTTTATCTCAACAGCTTCAGGGTGACATCTGTTTTATTAAAGGCAGAGAATCAGAGATAACCTTCCTATACTTTAGCTTCTAGTAACTGGACAATACACAAAAGAAATCAGATGTAATATTTAAGAGAGGCCAAAGAGTTTATATGTCAATGGAGTTAAAAGAAAAGGGTTCAGTTCAACAGATGATTTAACCGGGAAGGATTTGTCATATCAGTCTTGTTGAGTGAGGAAGAGGTCAGGAACTATTTCCGACTAGCTTCACTTGCTGTTCACACAGCACTTTCCAATGTGTTTAAGTCAAACTGGCATTCAATTTCACTTGATAAAGTTCAAGGACAGATACGGCTTTTGAGAGAAAATCTAGGGCATCTTTTTTTTTTTCCCAAACTCAAAGAAATCTTTTAGTTTTGAAGCTATCTACACTTTTGCACATCAAACACCACCCTGGGATTATTCTTTCAAAGGGATCATATCTGAATGTTTACTCCGCAAGCAAAGGAGTTTATCTTCAGTTCGATGAAGTCTGGGAAAAAAACTTTCTGCACAAAGCTCCATGTTTAACATTCTCAAAGCCTGAATACTGACAGTGAAAACCTTACTGATTAACTGCACCTTATTATATGTGAATCAAATATATGAACACTGATCAGAGCTGATATAGTTTTAATTAAATGCAGATTTTTTTATTTAACTATTAATGATGACAGTCTTCCAGAAAGTCTGAAATAGGTACATTTTTCAAACAGTAAGGTGATGAGGGGCATTTCAAACCTCGATAGTAGATCTACTATGCTTATCATTCACGGTTTGCACTGCACTTAAAAACCCACTAGATGGTGCCAACTGTCTGCTGTAACATCTTTAACATAAACCTCAAAGCAGGTGTTCAAAGCTAAATGTTAGTTTGTATAAGGGCTGCCACTGAACAGTTGTTCTTGAGTAGAGAATCAGGAAAGGGCCATATTTAAAACAACAATTCTGTAAAAAAACATTTTGACAAGATATCTAAGAAATATAAGCTCAAATAACTAACATAAAAAATTGAAGGTAAAAGTTAAGTATGTTTATATACCATGGTTTAAGGAATAAATCCTGAATTTCTGGCATGAAATAAAGAAGTCATACATTTAGAAATGAGGTAAACTAAAAATAATGGCTAAAATGTATACAGACATATACAGTTTCACACACGTGTGTTTACCCCTTTGATTCTGTGTTTATTCCTTTTTTTATTTTTATGTCATATTTGAAGAATTCTACTCTATTTTCTCATCCGTACCCTCACTTCATTTATCTGTGGTGCACTTTTGTGTTCAGTGACCCACAAGTCCAAATACTATGTAATATGATTAAACAGATATTTACTCCAAAACAAAGCGAAAATAGAAACTGCAAAACTCATGAAAAGGTACTTAAATATTAACATTAGTCCCTTTTGTAAAGGTCAGTCAGTGGTCCCCTCCAACTTCACCCTGTTGAGGCAACAATTAGCCAAATGACAATAGCAGATACAACAGTGAACCTATCTATACCACTAGAATCATTTTCACTAGTTGTACATGTTTTCAGTATTGTCTAAAACCTTGAATACAAAAGTGTTTCCTCTCTCTCTGTTGTCAAGTCCCATCTACAAAAGCTTTTCTCTTTGTTCCTAAAAGCATCCTTTTGTTTTCAAAGTGGGTGCAACTGTTGGTGAAGCATACTGTCGCATCCTTCCAAAAAATAATAACCTGTGTGGTAGTTAGAGCTCTGTATAGTTTCAAATTGAACAAGATTAATTCAACCCTCTGAATGTTCCTGATCATCGGCCAACAATCCTAGATAAAAGAAACAACTGTAAAGGTAGAATGTCAAGGGTGAGTTGTCATGGCTTTACATACTTTTAGAAAACAAAATAGTATGGCCTCTGAAGACAAATTTATCATCATTACATGCCACTTGAACTTCAAAAGTCTTTTACTCTACTCTTAGTCTTGATTTGATTGAACCTGCACACCATAACTGACAGTGAGCGAGGTTAAGGGAAAAAATTCAAAGAAGCTCTACTTTGGCACAGTTTCAGTTTTGCAAGTTCTCTAAAAGCATCGAAACATTGATTACAAAGCTGCCCTGGAGCCTCGACTGGAGTCTGTCCTCAAGTGAACCTTCTTGAAATTGGCTTGAATTATCACGGTTAAGTGTTTGTCTGCCTGAGATCAAAGTACTTTTTAATTTGTGTCAAAAATTATCAGTGTGTGTCTCTGCGAGTGTGCTCTCAAGGTTCAGTGTATGTGCAGTTTGTGGATGTGTGTTTCTGTTTGTGTGCGGCTGCATACCTGAACATTGTGCACCACTTTTTTCATCATCTCTACCTCTGTGTGGTTGCTACCGTGCTCTCAGTTGTGCGTATTCAATGTGTGCCTGTATGCATGCGTTGATGTGTATTAGGCACTTTGCGGCAAGAAGAAGACGCTCATCTCTGACGCAAGCAGGCTGGACCACGGCCTGTCTCCTCCTCACCTGTCGTTATGCCCCCCGGCAGATCTGGCAGCTACTGGGGGTTCGATGCCGAGGTGAATAGTTGAACCTCTAATCATTGTTTTGGAGTGTTGAGGGGTGGGGCAGCTGCTTGGTGTGTGTGTGATGTTTGTCTAAGTGATGTGTATATACATTTCCTCAGTTTTGGTGTGTATGTAATTTAAAATTCCTTTGGAAAAAGTGTGGCTTTTGTATTTTGTCTGTGCACACATGCATGTGTGTCTGTGTGTGTTTGTATGCATGTGCAAATCCATATAAGATCCAAATATGACAGATTTTCCCCTCGACATACCAGCTTGTATCTGCTGTTCAAAGGCAGATGTGTGTGTATGTGCTTGTCTAGGTTGTGTGTGTGTGTTCTTGCGTGTGCGCAGTGAGCTCGAACTTGCATGAACTCGACATTGCGGCTTCATCTAAAGGTGAGCGTCTTTCTCTTTCGGTGGCTTCTAGCTAACATAAACAGCGAGCAGGGCGCGGCTCACCTACAGTTAATCTGGATAATTAAAAAGAAGCAAAAGAGAAACTGGCTTCTGAGTAAACTATGAAGAACTTATGAGATGTAGATTACTCATTGACTATCAGGTTTTTCTCTCATGACAAATTAAACCTCCTGCTTATTTCATGTACAGGCTAAGTGATTTTGCATGTATTGATAACTGTCGTTAATTCATCACATACACATACACATACACATACATCACATTCATCAACTTTTTTTCCTTCAGGCAACAAAGTCTATGCCAGCACACCCTGAAGAATTACCCATTAAGTGTTGTGAGCTATTTCCGCTGCAGCTCTGAGGATTCCTCAGCAACAGGAGCTTAGTAACAAAAGGAGAAGGGTGGGGGCATGTGGTGATGTTCACCAAAAAACCCTGTTAGACCAGACCATCTCATTTAAGTTGGGTCTGAGTGGTCTAGTTCACACAAGTAATACCTAGCTTTTGATACAATTAACCTTATGCTTCATCCAAAACTTGTTTGAATTTTTCTCTGTCATGACAGGGCCCCCTGCTGGACAGAGTCACAAGCTGCACAAATGCACAATCGTTATAACTATATTTTAACTTAACTCTATACTTGGACCATTTCTATTTAGCTTTCATATAGATGATTTAGCAAACATCTGGCCAAATATCCAAGTGCAGTTGTATGTGATGACAAAGATTTTTTTTATACACACACCAAAACAAAGTGTGAAGCTGCTGTTACATTATCTGCAGCTTTAGTACCACTGTCTTACTGGCTTCTCTTGACAGTCAGCAGAGAGCTTCCAACAACCACATGTATTGATCAATGGAGAAAGACTCGATGTGGTGGAAGAATTCAAATGCCGTGATGATTTGTAATGTAGCACAAGTTTCTGTTTTGTATTTAAAACAGTTGGTGAGTTGTTTGGTGTGCTGTCTTGTGAACTGTCATGCGGCATGTCCTGTAACTTAAAAACTTGCATTAATTTAACCCAAAGGAAATCATGCAGACCATTTCACATTAACTATTCACCTGTTGGCGTGTGTATCATACAGCTAATATTAGTGAATCCTGAGCAATTACCTTCTAGATTTCAACAGATCATAAAAGTTACAAGATGATCATGCAGATTTGGATTAGGGTCGCCAACGGATATTCTAATTTCAAATACATATTTGAATATTTAAAAAAAAAAGAAATTTGAATGTGAAAATTAATATAAGAACATTAAATAAACAGTGGAAAAAAGGTAAGTAGGAAAAAAACAAAACAAAAAAAGCAGCTTCTTTGTGAGTGCGTGTACTATAACAACGGGTCAGGGACAGGTCACAGGATCTGCACATACAGTGAGACCTGACAAAAACCCTCAGTGACACATGCAGAAAGAGATGGCCGGATGATCTGAGCCAAACTCGGAGAGAGTGGTCTGGACTCCAACGAACTTTAGACGCTCTGTTTGGAAACTCTTCAGATTTTGGGCAGACACAGCAGATGGAAAAAGTGCTGAGCGAGATAAAGTTATATGCAAGCTGTGTAAGCTAGATATTCAGATATTTTGAACCAATGTGTGATTTCCAGAAAGAATATTCAAATGTTTTGGAGCAATTTTGACAGCCCTAATTTACATAACACACACACACACATATGAAAAGAATCACTTAAGTGTGTCACATAAACAAATAATCAGACAGGCTCGGCGTGAACAAGTTGATGTCCTTTCTATTCCACAACAAAGACGAACACAGAAAGGTATAGTGTAAGAGAAAGTCACATAGCAAGGCAAAGTAATTTATATCTTTGTCACTCTTCGGCTCTGCTTTAGTTTCTTCAGTTCCCCCGTGTACCATTTTGAAACTTTGCCAACATCAGTCTTTTACTCAGAATTTCCTCATTTCACTAACTCTGCAGAGAATTGTAAAATTGCAAAAGGGAGAAAAACAGACATGTGAGCATCATGAAGAGTGCCATAGGTGATGCATCTTATGATAATATAAATTGCCAAAAGAAAATTGAGATATGACAAAACTAAAGAAACGTCAAATAAAATGCAGGGAGGGGAAAAAATTGAAAATAATAGAAGAGAAGTAAAAAGCTGAGGGTGACCCACTGCTGAACCTCAGAAGACTAATGACCCAGGAGAACAGGAGTGTGTGAGAGGGTTATACATGTTATCACGATGGCCATGCTTGTGTTAGATCTTATCCTGGTTTATATGGTTCAAATGTTTTGCAGTTAATCGTTTTTATCGCCTGAGTTGGCTCTAAGTTTTGTAAATGCTTGAGTGTAATGATATTTTTAGTTTTAGGGGAATTCTTTGTTTTCCTTTTTAGGTTCAAATGAATCCAGGGATCCAGTAGTGTAGCTGTTTTATACACAAATTTAAGTCATCTTCTAAATTGTGACAGTAAGATTTGATTTATTGATGTGATGATTTTTTTATAAACTCAAGTAAGGGGACTACTTTGATATTACTTAGTCCTGTTGGATAAAAATGCTTCACATTAGAATTGTTTTGATTGAACAGGTGCTAACTGGTTGCAAAAGGGCAGTTTAATTAATGGGAAAAAAAGGTATCTTGTAGTTAAGTTGGTTGTTTCCTTTATGAGTTATTATAAGTTGCTTATCTTAAATACTAACAACCTGGGAAGTACCCTCCTTCATTTATTGCAGCTGGCAAACTTAATGTTAATTACTATCAATTAGGGCACGTGATTTATGTTTCAGGAGAACCCGTTTCAGTAAGAAGTTGTTCAATTAAGCAACACCAAAAGTCAACTGAACAGCTCTGATAGGATAAGATATCTGTCTGAAGAAGCTATCACAGAGAATGTTATAGGTTTCTAACGTTTGGCATGTCATTTATATGTCAGCTAAAGAAAACGACAAAAATATGTTGTACTTACACACTCACAACGGTCTATCACTCCATGCGCAAACCTCAACCAAAAAGCCACTCTATAGCCACAAATAATGCTCAGAACAGCACCTAACTTAATCAACAGTAAATATAGGGTCCTAGCCATGGAACTAGCCACCAAACATCTTTTAAGCTTTGCCTAATTTCTTTAGCAAAGAGACTAAACACAACTCACCCACTCTCCTCCAGCAGCCGCTTGTTTGAAGGGGGAGCCCTGATGAGTTCATCACCGAGTCCAGCAGAGTTTCGCAGCTTAAGGAAGAACTTTTATGATTATTTATTTGGAAAATGCAATCAGACTGAGACACTAAGGCAGAAGAATGACCGTGTCTGCAGTGCAAAATGATTATTATGATGATTATTACTTCTAGGAAATATTCCACATAAACAGGCCAATAAACTTTATGTGCTGCATATTTGTCAGTTAAATGTAAATGAAACAATTAAAAATCAGATTTATGTCATAATACAAATAAAACCCAATGTGTAAATAAAACATCAAACAACCCATGTTAGGTAAAGTTACCAGTAGCAGCCTTACTTGGTCTAGAGGTGGAGGAAGCAGAAGTGGTCATGGACAGTGCAGCATAATCAGGCATGAATTTAGATATTTCAAAAATGCATCTATCTAAAGAGAAAAAGGTGGGATTTTAATTGATCAGGGTCTTAATAAACTGAAAGATATTTTAGTCAGACAACTCACATTTATACTCTGAGCAATTATAGCAACAACAATGCCCGACTCTACCCCTTGAGCTGTTTGACTCCTTGATTCAGAGAAACAAAGGCAGGTTCAGTCATAAATTTCCCTGTTTGACAGCAAACACACAGAGTGGTCAATGAAAGACATGCAAACTAAAAGAGGACAAAGTGTGTCTGTGTGCAGGTATGTGTGCAAAAGAGGACAGGAAGGACAGTGAGTTAGTGAGTGACAGAACAGAACTAACACAAGAGGACTCATCTACAGAAAAAAAGTGGGGAAAAGTTTAGATACTTTTATAACATATAGCATTTAAAAACACTAGGTCTATAACTTATTTATCATCCCCATGGCACAGCATCTGAGGCGCACACAGACGTCCTGTAGTGAAGCAAACAGAGATGCTCCAAACAGTCCGATAAGAAGTCATGTTGTCAGTGTTATCAGATTTGAATAGGAGCAAAAAAATAAAACGTTAATTTTTTTGCTTTAGGGTCACAAAAATACACCAGTTCTCAAATACAGTAAAAAAAAGCAAATGGAAAAACTGGGTTTTTGTTCAGAAAAACTGACGTTCTGTAACTTCAGCAGATGTGCTGTATTTCTTAATTAAATATTTATAAAACCTAAATATTTGAAAGCTTGAGAGTTTTTTAATTGAAATTACTAGCTGTGGCTGGCAAGTTTTTACAAATATGTGCGATTATTTCACTCCATTTTGCTTCATGTTTTGTGTTAGCCAAATGCATGAGTGTCCTAGTCCTGCTGAATGTCTGGTCTCTTGGTTTCTACTTTGAAGTATCCGTGATCATATCTGCCTAATAGACCCAGCTGAAATAACAACATTGTTCAGAAGGGAGTACCTCATATAACTTCTGTACGTGCCTCTGTTCTCAGCCCAGCACTGTAAGGGTTAAACTGATGTTCCTCCCTTCTCTCTCTCCTCCTCTCTTTAAAAGCTTCCAGCAGCTCTGAAGGGATCAGAGCTTTCAGACCACTTGTTGCTAATAGAGGGATATTTACCCTAACGGGAACAGAGAGAGTGTAACCCCAGGTCACTGCACACAGCAACAACACTGACACAAAGACACACAGACAGCCTGCTCTGCTTTGACAGCAGGGACAGACAGATACAGTGAAGCGCTCATGTAAGCTCTGCTCAGACAGGCCGCAGGTTCAGAACAGGTCACATCTGTTTTCAAACATATCACACTGAATTCACACTTTTCAGGTCACTGGTGAAGTGTCATTCAACTACTACGGCAGAAAAAGCTCTCAAGTATGCCGCCTGTTTGCCAACACATCCCTTCAGCCTTGTCTCTGCAGGTGTTCACCATGTCTGTCAGAGTGAAAGCACCTACACCTGCTGTGACATGATATCATGAGTCAAAATGGGGAAGATGTGTTTTATCTTCAGTCCAGAGAAGTTTAAGAATAATAGGAGAGGCGAGGTTACTGTAGTTTTGCTCACTTTTGCACTCCCAACATTTTCTACTTAATTTCAGGATTTCCAGGCTCTGATGTTTTAGGAGCTTATGCACCTCCCAGCTTGAGCTTATCTTTGTCAGTCATGCTCCAACAGCTCGTAATACTCTGTTCTAGGTGAGAGGGGGCATCTGGGTCAGACTAACAGAAAGAGGAGGAGTTCTCTGAAATGGTGGCTATTTCAGGATTTATATTACCTCAACATGTCCAAGGGTGTTTCCAGGACACAAAAAGAACAGTTTTAACAGTTCAGAACCAAATGAGGTGACATATAAAAAGTATAAAGTAACAAATTTCACTGTGTTTACTGTACATAAATAAAGACAACTATGGTGTTCCCCAGGGGTCAATCTTGGGTCCTAAACTTTTTAACCTTTATATGTAACCCCTTGGCATCACCTTTACATTTCGAAGTCTCCTGATGACCAAGGGCCAATTGATAACCTTTTTGCTCTGTATTTTGGGGTCAAGGCATACTGTGGCTGGTTCAGCAACATGTTACAACCCTTCAGTTATTTAAAACATACATTCAATTCAACCAACATGCATTAAAAGATGACAGAGAGTCAAGAGCAATAAGGCTGGGCAGGAAGGTGGTGGGGAACTTCTCCCACAGTTGGCAGAAGAAGGCAGCCCTACAGTGGTGCTTCACATATTTTGTCCAGAGTAATTGTTCTGAATATTTCGAGTGCTCTGTTGAAGTCAGTAAGCAACAAAATGCATTTGAATCGTGGGATTTGTATTTTATTTTTGTAATTTTGTGTGTTATAGTCAATACAATCTGTCTTGTTGTATGTAACTTGCGACTTTGGCCTATGATTTTACATCCTCGTCAGTGATAACTTACCAGAACTTCATATTTGTTGTCATTTGCACACAAACACTGTATAAAAATGTCACACAAGTCTGACAGCAGAAAACAAAAAAGGATTGCATTGATATAAAATTTCCATGAAGACCTGATAAAGTCATTGCCTGGGTGGTAGTCAGTTCATGCCCTTTTCTGTTTTCATGTTGGTTCATTGTTATCTGTTATCTAATTCAGAGGCTGCTGAGTTATGACAGCCAATCATAACAATTTAAAGCCGATGAAAGGAAGCTGTTAAAACAGAACCAGGGCTCGACCGGGCCCGGCTGGGCTAAGTTAAGTTCTGGGGGAAGGGACTGCGAGGGCAACGAAAACATGTTATGTGAAAAATAAAACAGATAAAAAATGGAACACTGATCGAGTTAAACGTCTTGTGTTGTCAGCTAAGCCCTGGATTTGGGAAAACACCAGCAAATTAACCAGAACAACAATCCGGCTGTGTTTGTTGTCATTCCGGAGCCAGTTATGCCTGGTGCTGCCTCGCTGTAACCCCGCCGTGGTGACACCTATCTCGGCATTAAACAAATGCTGAGAGGTCCTGACCTCCCCGTGTTTGGATTCACAGGCTGGGAGCCCAGACAGCCATGCGGTGCTGCGACGCACGTATCAACACAAACCCCAATACAGGAATGCAGCTGAGGCCTGCTTGACTCAGCCAGCATGGCCCAGTGTGTGAGTGTGTCTGTGATCATGCTGTATCTGTTTCTGTATCTGTCATCCAACACGGAGAACAAAAGCAAACTGTTGTTTTTTTTTTAAGTTTAAACAGATGCACCTGTCATCTTAACAGCATGGAAAAGGTATTACTGAATGAACTCTAATGTCGAACTCCACACTGCATTTTCATTTATAGGAAATTTCATTTTTAAAGTGTGCTTTCCCACCAGTGTCTGCTCTTGCTAGATTATGAAAGTTGTCCCGTGCACTCCTGTTTATTCAATAGTGACTGTCACATCTGTTTTAAAATATTCTGTGTGTTTTGTACTTCCTCTGATTAAAGACCCACTCCAATGAAAATCATGTTTTTCTTGTTCGTATGACATTTTTCTGATGCTACAGGACATATCATAAGAAAAATAAGTTTCGAAATTCCTTTTCTGAGTATTTCTGCATTGAAATTGCTGTGAATCTCTGGCAGACCCACACAGCAGGTTCAGAAACAGTGAGATTTCCTACATAGCTAATCCAAGCTCCGCCCCCGGAGCCCCGCTATGCAGACCTGAATGGGACAAATAGGGAGGACAATCGCGGAACAAGCATGTGCATGAGCAGATTGCAATGCTTATAAGAAAGATAATTATGATATTAACTTTCATCATGCCCCCAAAGACAATAGTGTCTGAGAACTGAATAGCTCTTATGTTACCTGCTACTTCTATTACACCAGATATGTAAGGCTGCTAGCATGAAGAGGAGTGTGCAGAGCAGCGCTGTCTCCACCCCTCACTTAGAGGTGAATTGCTAATGAGCTACTGGAGCTCTGCAGAAGAAAAGCCCTTGAAAATAACACAGGTAATGCGATTTAGGATTAAAAACTTCATAATCACAATTTAAAGACCACTGAGAACACTTTAAGTAGTATAAAAAAAAAAAATTAAAAAAAAGATCCGAGTGGGACTTGATAGGGAAATGATATGTGCTGCCAGCACAAAGAAACATTTGTGGACACAGGCCAAACTACACAATATAATTGTAATTAATACAGCAACAAATATTGTTAATTGATACAAAACCCTTTCCTTCATTGTACTAAAATTTAAGTCAAACTCATTGCCTACCTTTTATCTGTACAGCTATGACCATTTACTATCTAAAGCATGGTATGGACAGACTGTTATTTTTCCTATTGCTGAGAGAGGGGGCAATGATCCAACATCCTCTTTAACCTATCATGAACAAAATACCTTTAAAACTTATCAAAAAACATAACATATTAATCAGACTTTGCCATCTTTGATATAAGGTGACTTTTAGAGTATGGAGATCAGTGTTTATAGCTGCTAGACTATTTAAGTTTTTCCAAAATGCCCCATGAAGTAATGATTTTCTATAGAACCGATCACTGGTCACCACAATTGGCTTTCATTTTTAGGATTGGCTTTTTTCTTTTGGAGCCTCAGCAGAGGCATAAGAAAGCCAGATTTTGTGCAAAGGTTATGTTAATAGAAATCCAAAAAGAAAGGTTTGCTATGACAGTGGAAAAAAAGCTGTGATGACATTAAGAGATCTCCCTAGGGGGGGCCCATCAGAGAGCACTCAGTCTTGTTGCACTGGGGAGCATTGCCTGATAAACAGCCTGTGCACGTTTCTCTATGAAAATCAGAAGTGGTAATTTACAAAGGAAAAAGGCCACAAGACAGAGAAAATTCCTCAGAAAGAGGAAGCTCTCATCTCACAGATCCATCCATTTTTAAGATCACAGCTCACAGCCTGCCATCCCTCAGGCTCTCCGACAGAAATCACACAGAGATGGTTGTCAGCAGGCCACTCAGTCCGGTCACTGAGAGAAGAGCATGATGGTTAGATTTTTGTTGGCTATAAAAATGATTCATTGTTTCAGGCACATGATTTACTTTGTGGTAAGATCATCTCCGCTGACCCACTTCCAGCTGCCCCCTTCAACTCTAAGGCCAATCCAGAAGCCACTATGTCCCAAAGCCGCCACACCGTGAGAGATGAACCCCTGAAAATCACAAAGACAGATCAATTATTCTTCAGCAATGAGCTACAACTGAAAAGTGTCATAAATGTGCTTTTTTTTTTTTTTTTCGCTGGTTATTCTGGAAATCCCCAAACCTCTTCTTGGTGACCACAAACACTCCAAGTAAAGCAGAAGAAATTTTCTGGTACTTTTTTCTTTTTAAGTTGTGAAAACATTTCCTCTTCAGTCGAAAAGAAGGAACATGCTCTTTGCTGGTATTCGCGAAAGAATGTGGGTGGAGATGGGCAGTTTAATCAACTAAATAACCCATTGTCATATTCACCTGTGAGAAGAATTACCTGTTAAATAGGTTATTGATATATAGATATATATATATATATCAATGCAGGCTGACATTACCAACAGTGGTGGAATTGGAACAGAAAACACAACCTTTTTTCCATTAAGTATTTACAATGGTGAATTTTAGCTACTTGCTGTCATGTTCAGCAGAAAGATTTCTTGTGCTTGTAATAAATGTAGCAGGCCACACATTTCAGATGTTATTTATTGACTTTCAGCAATTTGCAGACTTGTTGTTCGCAGAATGTGATAAAAGAGCTGCGGTTTTATTTTGGTGCCATTTTAAAATAGCTGCCAATTTCTTTATTAATAATGCCAATAAACTGTTTCAAACAGCCATTTTGGTCAGCACATTTAGGCCCCAAAACTTGCACTTGAATGTTTTCCTGAAGCTGTTTGCTGGAATAAAAAAGACATTTCTCATGCTTGTCTAGCACTGATGATATGAAGACATCAGTGTGAACTTTGAATTTTAAAACTCCTTTGGGTTGAATCAAAAGATAAAATATTGGTTCACTGTTTATACGGATTGAAGGCCTGTGATTTTATTGTGCCCATCAATCCTCAGACTTCTGGTGTTTGCATCACCTGTTCCTCTGGACTTTCTATGACAACCAAATCTGCGTTCTTTCCTCTGCAGTCATATCGAGCTTCCTCCCAGGTTCTGTGATCAGGAGGGTCATGGTGACTCATCTCATAGCAGCTGGACTGGAAATGCTGCCAGCCTGGTTCACAGGGTTCACTCTGTCTTTCTGCAACAATACAGACAAACTCTCTGAATTGTATTGTATTGTGGCACCAATACTAATGCTTTCTTTTTCAACAAAAGAGGAAGATGCTAACATACTTTTTCTGCGGTACAGTTTTGTCATCATCTCCGGGTTATGAGTGGTGAAGTCATTTGTATATCGTGGGGTCAATGTAGTCCTAGAAGCTTCTTGCTCTCTTTGCAGCTTCTGGTTTTCTGCCTCCAGCCTTCGGTTTTCTGTCTTCAGCCTCTGGTTTTCTGTCTTCAGCCCCTGGTTTTCTCTCTCTATCCCCTTATAGTTTTCTCTGAGGCTGGTGATTCTGCTTTCTAAGACAGTACGGGCTCGTTCCTTTTCTTGTATCTGAGCTTCGAGACTGCTGTGGCTCCTCTCCAAGTTTTGGATGGTTACGTTCAGCTTGTTGATGATATATTTGCAGTATAGATCAGCAAGCTCTGAACCTTCGGTCTGCTCTCTCAGCTTGCCAGTAATGACAGAAGTATCTACAATACAAAACTAAACTGATGATACAAGTCCGGTCTAAAGGGAATTTACTCTTGTCCTCTCGTCCTAAAACACATTTCAAAACTGTCTGCTTAATGCAAACACTGAATAACAATGACTTTAAAAACAAGGAAATCAGGAGATTAAAGAAGAGGACATGTATCAACACCAAACTGCCATCTTGTCTTAGTGTTTGGCACAAAAACCTATGTTGCATTTGTCTAATTTTATGATATGTTAAATATATATTCTCTAAGTCTTCACTTGTGTTCCTGATGAGGCAAGTGTCGGGTCTACAGTATACTCACAGTAAATTCGGAGGACCATGATAAGCAACAGTATTCCCCAACACACTGCTATGGGTGAAAATCGCTGAATGATGGGAGACAAGCGCTGAATGATGGGAGACAAGCGCTGAATGATGGGAGAAGGAGTCTTCTCATCTGAGAGAAAGGCAAGAATTCACATTTTTGGTTCAACATTTAACAAATGCAGTCCGTGAGTATGCATAACCATATGATGGCAGTAGTATTTGGTTAAATATTCTGTAAATCACAGTTGTCACTTGACGTACAGTATAATAGATCTTTAACCTGGACTGATAAATCCCATTCACAATATACCTGAAGCGGGAGTCTCTTCATTCACAGTCCAAACAGCTGTATTTATGTAATCATTTTCTTCCTCAAGTTCATCTGCAATGCAGGTCAAATTCAGAAATATAAGAGCATGTACAAATCCTAGGAGGAGCATATTCTCAATATTAAGAAAACAGCACAGATGTGAAATTGGTTGATTAAGGTGACTGTCCATTTTAGATGTTAGAAAAATTAAGTAACGCTCATTTTAATGGTGTTCGATAAACAAACTTGTAAAAGCAATTGTCATAAATTCTCTCTGCACAGTTAAATCAACAGTAAACACATTTTTCCATGGACTGAGCTCACTGTATATTTCAGTCCTTCATTTAGTTTCACTGTTTTATATACTTCTCCAAACACAAATTGAATAAAAGGCAAAGTCATGACAAAAAGCACAACTTAGATGTACAAAAACCGGGTAAGCCTAGAAAGATTAACTACAGTTTTCACTTACACACTGAGGACTGAATCACTAATCCATCTGATTTTCACAACTCAGTGTGAAGGAAAAAGTTCACAAATTAGCTTTGAATTTCTGCTGGTAGAGGATTTTCATTGACATGATTTGGAAATGCAGAGTTTATTTTAGATTAGAAGAGTGTTCAAAGATAATCAGCATGGGTTAGTGTCAAAAAACATGTATTTTGATGGAAAAAGAAAGTTTTTAGTGGCAAGAGTTTTTGCAAGCAGGAGACTATTTTTAAGCAATATTAAAGTGGAGTTTTCTCTTACCTGCGGACGTGGAAACACTTGGATTATTGAACATAACCTTAACCCTCTGGGATGGCATCTTCTTTAAAGTCAGAGACAAACAGTCAAATACAGTCAGAGACTTTGAGCCAACCTGATGATGTTTGTTCCTCAAAATGAGGATGTTTTGCTAGCCGATGTTGTTTTCTTTGCATTTCTGCTTTTTGTCGTCAGGAATAAAGGTGTCAATGTCACACGACAGTATTTCTGTACATGCAACTGTCCCCGAAAGTTTCTAATCTTATCTGTCGCGTACTTTTTTTTTATCAGACTGCTGCAGGCCAGCCTGATCATTCAGCTGACGTGGTAATACATTTGTTCGATGTGAAAAAAAGCACCAAAACCTGTGATCCATGCTGCCAGGAATGTCAGTATTTTTATTTATCATTTTTTCTTTCACATGACTAACTCTACTTTGACCAACCTTTTTTGTTTCTTTATAACTCTGCTTTAAAACACTTAATATTTTCCTGCATTGCATTCAACATTAGCCTCCTCAGTGCTTCCTTCAGGGCCCCTTTAATGAGGGCCCGACCTGTTCCTCTATTCACCTGTCTGGCACACTTTTCTTTTCAAACAAATGTTTCCTTTTTTGTTTCTTTGTTAAAGTTGGCAAATAAAGGTACTTGTTTATCATAACTACTTTATTACCCACTGTGGATCTTGGTCAGTAGGCTATGGCCCCATCATTTGAAAACTAAGGAGAGAAATCAGTACAAAATTTAGATTATCAACTGTGTTGATGTAATCATATGGGTCAGCTAGTTTTAAGAAAGTGCTACTGAAACATTGACAATGGTGTAAGGTTACATTATATCTTGACATTTTTTATTGCTTTACTTAGCCGTAAAGAAAGATCATTAATTTGTTTGCACTACTCTTAGCCACAACGCATAGCTAAATGTTCCCCCAGCTGCTGCACACTGATCAGCTAATCAGGTCTATAATGTATGAGTAGCTGATATAGTTTAAATTTTCATATTTCTGCAACTCAGTTTGACTTATTTTAGGCACCAAGTCTCTAAGATTTACCGGCGGCCATAGTGATGGAAGTAATATTTATTTCAGCATAGCCTTCCACTTAAGCAGCAAACATGGTATACTGATATGGTTTAGTTTCATTTAGTTTAGTTATTTATTTCATTCATTTGTCGAGCATGAACACAAAAAAATAAAACTCATAAAAAAATGTAAAAATCTGTAACTCTGTAACTCAGATTATATGCCTCCGAGCAAATAAGGAATGGAAGAAGAAGAAAATGTTTTGACTGTGGTCATTTATGTAGTTTGATTGGTTTATTTGTTGATTGACAGCTCTCTCTCTCCTCCCCTCCTCTACAGTAGAAATCAGCCTGTGTGTGAGAGATGAGCTGCAGATGTGTGTGCTGCTGTTTGCTCCTGTGACAGGATTGCTGCATGCTGATTGGCTGGCTGAGGACTATTTAAACCACCTGATGCCATCCTTTGGCCCCTTCTGCCCCTTGCCTTCCAACCACCAGTCCATGCAGACCATGTGATTTATTTTTGCTTAGCCTTGTGAGTACAAAGATAGTTTAATTTGTTAATATTTTACTTTAGGATTTAATGGCAGATGTAGGAGGGAGAAGCCATTTTGTTTTCTATCTTGTTTTCTGCTGTTTCTTGGTTAGGAGTTAGGTTATCTGTTGTCTTTTGTTTTACATTTATTAGGGTCCTTAATTAAGCTATTTTGTTTGTTGTGTTGGCATTGCTCCTCTCTGAAGTGAATAAAAACTGCTTTTTCCGTGAATTTAAAACTCATCATTGGCTCATTCTTGGGAGTGGGAAGAGCGGGGCACTCAATCATGTGTGGCCCTGGTTCCCCTAGGCTAGGGTCATAACAAAAAGCATCAACAAACAACGTCTACAACAAAAGTGGCATAAAATAAGTTCTACTCATCTACTCATCATACTAGTACATTTCTAGGTATGAAATGTTGACATGCTACACGGAGTATACACACACATATGTCTACCATCACTTGCACACATATACACCTGTGTCTGTGAACCCATAGACACACATGTTCACACATACATGTACACGGGCAGACACTTTTGTCTATGTATGTGTATACACCTGTACTTGTGGTTCTATTTATTTAACACTAGATCATATGTCTGAATCATATTATGTTTACAATGGTAAACTTGTAAAGTAATCTAAAAACAATAAGAGAAGAAAATATTTTTTTTAGACCTTCTCATTCATTCATTCTGGTGTCTAATTGAGCTTCTGAAGATTGAAGGAAGTCAGTAAACGGTAGCATTCAGTGATGCAGGCTGCAGCTGTCTGTGAGCTGCTGGTTTCCTCTGATTCTAAAGTTTTGAAGTTATCATTTTATTAATGTGAACACGCCTAAATGAGCATATTCATTGAACTCATTCATATTTTGGTGAATGGTGAATGGAGACACTCATTATGCAACTTCCGAGCAAGAAGGTGAAAGTCTGCACACTTTCTTTTAAAGTTACTAAGAGGTCATGAGAGCTGCTGAAAGTGACTGAGCACTGCATGCTATGACAGGACATGTCAGCGATTGGAGAGTAGGAATTTAGTTTAGGAGGCTCTGCTTATGAATAATGTAGGTGCAGCTGAAACAAAACAAACGTGAGCTTGTCTATTCTTACACCATGAACACACACAGTCGAGGATCAGAGTGCATTAAAAAAGTATCATAGAATAGAGGAGGGATATATTCATAAGGTACACACTGACAGAGAAGTAGACAGTAACTAAACAGATTATTTTGTCATATTTTTCAGGCTTTTGAGACAAAATTATAAGCCTTGAGCACATCAAACTGACAACACCTTTTTTGTGTTGTTTTGTACAGTAGAAAAGGAGATGAAATTCAATTTTACACTATTTTAAAATCACACGATTTCACACAGTCTCCTCACGATTTTTTTTTTTATCTACTGACCTCAATGGCAGGAGAAAGAAAACCATAGCTGCCCAACCAAGGATTTCTGGCTTCCAAATAACACTGATGTTACATGTAATTCAGTGTAAAATTCTATTTTCTTTCATAACAATTTTGATCAAAATGCAAAAAGGTCGATTCTCTGATCGCAAGTCCAATTCCACTAACAGTAGAGTCACAGAACCGTCAATCACAGCCGTCCGCGCCCACATTGAGATCTAACCAGGCAGAATAAGTGAAAGCACCTGTCTGGATTGACCATGCGTGTATTGGGGGCTTTGACACACAATCAAGTACAGACAAACTTTAAAACCTTCCACACATACTGTAAAGTCACTAATGCATGAGGACACAACAGCACCAACACGTGGACTCGTACAGGAGGCTTTAATGTGCTGTTGGCTGGGTGTGGTGCCCCAGCAGAGTTCATGAATTAACTGAACTCTTGAACTGTACTCTGGTATGTGGCAGACAGTCATTCAGACAAACAGTCATTGGAACTGCACAGGAAAAATCTCTGTCTCAACAGGTCTGGTAATAAGTTCTCAAACCTTACCCTAATGGATAAAAATAAACATTTCTGAAGTCAGCCAACTCAGCGTATAAGAGATTTGGGATTGATTTCATGTGTTTCCTGCAGGTATGTTCAGGACATTGCAGGAGTTCACTTTATATGGTTTGTGAAGAGTTTCTGGCAATCACACAGATCCCACATCACAGGACCATCTCACTGACATTTAAATGACAAATAAAAGAGCCAACAGAGGCCTGACTGCCCTACAATCCAACTCAAAATCGAGACTGATTTTTGACCACTAGTTAAAATGTTTCACACTCAAAGTCAGTTGACTTTAAGTTTTTCTTTTAATTTTGAGATTAAAGTTGAAATTTTGAGATTAAAGTCGACATAAATAAAGTTGAAATTTTGTGAATTAAACTGAAATTTTGAGATTAAAGCTGAAATTACGAGATTAAATTCAAGGCAAATAAAGATTAAATTTCGTGAATAAAGTTGTAATATTAAGATCAATGATAATGATTTGTCGCTCATCACTCGACAATATGTCCTCTGTAGAACAGTTTGTAAAGCTGTGCTTTAGAACTGGATTTAGTCACAAGGAAATCCTTGCTCTTTTAGCACACAAACACAGTGTGGTTTATTAGTTTTCAGACTCTGAAAAGACCGTACCGAAGATTATGATGCAGATACAGGGTTATCAATGGTTACACCTGTGTGCAATACAACGAGGCTATGTTGTATTGCAAGATACAATAAGACAACTGATCATGTTGATTGATCCTGAAGGTGTGGAGCACAGATGATACCGGCATCCGAGGCGCAGGCATTACCGAAGCAGAGGACCCAATGCCCTCTGGCACATTGATGGCTTTGACAAATTTAAGCCATATGGCATTTCAATTTGACTTTTTTAAATTTTGACTTCAATCTTGAAATTTCTTCATTAATCTTAAAATGGAAATTTAAAAAAACTCTCCCTCCTGTAATTATTTCTTTCTCTTCTCTAATCCTCTTTCGTATTCTGCTAATCATCTCAAAAGCAGCCCACAAAGATTTCAGGATCCTGAAAACATGAAGTTCTCAGGGTCTGGTAGCTGCTGCCTTGAGCAGCTGCATCAGCCACTTCTCTGTTATTCGTAAATAAATATGTCAAAATTTCACAGCCAGAGTGACTAATTTATTACGTGTGAATATCTCACACCAGTTAATCTGTGAATGTTGGTATAAATGTTGAAAGAGGAACCAAGACCTGCACCAGAAAGCCTGTGAAAAACCTCTAATGCACTTTCAGTTTGTCAGAAGTCATGGTCAGCCTGAGGGCGCCGGACAGTCTTGGTCAAGGACACCACAAGTAGCCAGACAGGGATTTGATCTACTGACCCCTGTCAGAGAGGAAAAGAATAATGATAAAAAAAATACAAAAAGACTATAGACTAAACTCCAACGTCAGTCTCTGATATTACAGATTTCATATCAAATCAAGTAAATATTTTTTTTTATCTCTTATCTCTTAAGAACAGCTATGAGAACAATGGAAGCAAAATTTCCAGATGTTCGTTTCTTCCGTGCCCATGAGAGTGAGTATTGAGAATGGTTAGAGACCAAACTCATGTCTAGTTTACCTATGATCACTTTGAAATAGGTTGAGGACTACACGATTGGTTACATGAAGCAGGTGAAGCTAACATGATTTTATCTTTCTGTTTTTTTTCAGGGTGTTTCTCGGACCCTCTAGAATACTGCAGAGCGGGAGAACGTGAGAACAGCTCCAAGAGGAAGTCTGAG